ATGTCGCGATAGTAATATTTTTGTATATAAATGAACAGATTTTTGATAATTATTTATCATTACATGTTAAAATATATGCTCAATATGTAGATATATTCTAAAAGTAAATGGAGAGAGAGAGAGAGAGAGAGAGAGAGAGAGAGAGAAGGAGGAAGGAAAGAAAAGAAGAAAGAAAGAAGGAAAAGATGAGAAATAGAGAAAGAGTTTAAGTAAAATTAATCAGATTTAATACAATAGTTTCTCTTGTATTCTATCTTACTACACATATATTGTATACGAACTGCAGCGATCCAGACTTTCAATTAAGGAAATAAGTTTAGGGTGAAGTCACATCAGCCTGCCATCTCAGTCTTAATTACGGTCTGCTCCGTGTAGCGTGGAGACATTCACTTTTATTGGTACGATCGTCGGAATGACTCCATTACAAATTAATTAAACACACAAAATGTAATGAGAGAGAGAGAGAGAGAGAGAGAGAGAGATTTAATATTTTTTTAAACTGATATTTTTTCTTAATCTTGAAATAAAATCATTTCGTTTTATTATATAATTAAACTTTTTTTCTATTAAAATAATGGAAAAAAATAAACAATTAATGTATTTGAAATCAATGGAGACAAAGAATTGGAACGTGAAATATTTTTAAATGTATTTTTGTATAATACTATATATTATATTATACTATATATTTAATTATATCATAATAAGGAGGTTTTCTGTACACACATTTTCTTTTATTTACAAAATTTAACTAACATTGTGAACATTTGAACAGAAATTTGATTATATTCTTTTTACATTTTTTTCGATCCATCTACAAATATCTTCGTAATTAAATATGAAATTGAAATTTTATTAGAGAATTTATATTATAGATAAGCACAGAATTATGCATTCTCTATTTCTTTTGCATATATAGTATGTTCATGTTCTGTTGGTGAATCTAATCACATCGCGAAATATATCTTGCCGATACCAAATTAGATCGGCCCGGGGTCAAAAAGCAACCGAGCGAAATCCGCGGTTAACTGGTTCGAGAAGGGAAAATCACGACGAAGCCTAACATAGGGTGAATCAAACGGATAAACGTAGCGCAAATTGCACCATCGTGCGGTGCTTCTGTAGAATTCTTAATGCCTCGACGCCTGTTTACTTAAATCATCGACATCAAAACGCAGATATAGTCTTGATCAAACAATGTCAAGCATGAAAATAGTTACTGTTGTAAGAATAATTTGCTCTAATTAAATTAGCAATTGCTGTATATGAACGCAAAATGTCCCTAGTAAAAAGAATTCTCACAATTTCATATTTTTAAGAATTTTTTTACTCTAAATTTATTGCTACACATATATATGTATTTCTAAAAAAAAGAATATCTTAAACTTCTACAAACTTATAAGTTTGCTTCAAAAGTTATGGAATGAGAAATCTTAAAATATTCCGTAATTCATATATAATAAAGATTTCTAGAAAAGATGTAAACTTTTTCAGTACTTATAAAAAGTGATTCAATTCATATAAAAAAATTTAAGAAATTTTTTTAAAAGTTATAAAATCATGTAAAAGTTATAAAGAAATTTATATAGAAATTCTGTAAGAAATTCCAAAAAAAATTTTCAACATTTAACTATTAATCTATTAACGTCAAATTATTAAATACACACACATATATTCACGATTATTACTTAAATATACTAATAGTCTCTATACATTAAATAAATGTAATTCCAAAAATCAATTTTTAGTAAAAAAATTATAAAAGATTGTCTTTGATTGTACAATACGTATGTGTTTAATTTTTAATTATAATTATTTGTAATATAATTAAATTTTTATTAATATTATTGCAAATGGGAAATTAGTTTGAAAAATAGATATATAGAATTAAGATGTTATTTAATATTATAATCTCTCCAAAGGAAATGCTACAAAACTCTGACGAAAATTTTATGAAAACCGCGTCATATAAATTAAATATTTAATCGCGAAATAAAAAAAACATTATTTATATTTTCTGTCGAATCAAATAAGTCTGTCCTTAAATTAACAAGATGCATAAATATATATGCTAAGAATGATAAAAAAGAAATGTAAAAGATAAAGCAATAAAACAAACAAAAAAGAGACGAATTCGCGCACGAATCGAAGCGTATGGTTCCCATCTAAAGAGATGATTAAATATTTATCCAGAAGGTGCTGGACATCTGTCGATATGCCTTGTTGCACTTTATTTTGGCGCGGTGTATTTGTTTAACATTAACGCTACATGCGCGTGCGCGCGCGAGCACGCAAACGCGCTCTCTCACCCTAATTCGCTTCGTTGTCGTCGTTGTCGTCGTCACTTCGGCAAACAACGGCACACATGCTACGGTCTGCTCGAGGTTTGGTCCGTGGCCAAATACGAATTATTAGCGTTGTCTTTGGCACATACCACGGATAGCACATTCATGACCTAGTCGATAATCGCGAGACAATTAAAAAAAAATAAACAGCAGAATTGATCTTATGCCCGACTTTACGCAGGAAAAGTATAAAAAGTTAATCAAATTCTTTTTTTGCAATTTCGCTGTTACTTTTTAAACTTTGAAAAAAATCCGAGTACTAAAAAATTAATATTGTCGTTAAATACACAATCGTCATGAAATACCGATAATTTGATCTCTTATTGAATTAATTAATTAATTCAACAATAATTAATTAATTAATTAATTATTTCACCTTCTTACGGCTGTGTCGTTACTTTTAAAATATAGAATTCCCTTACTCTTTCTCAAAAGATTTATATAACAAAACTAAAATGAAAGGTCTAGCCCTTCTGGCATTGATTTTGCATCTCGCTTCTGTTTTTCTCCCTTTTTTTCAATCAACGGCAGATCACGAAGAAACGCGATGCCAGGTGTAATCAATTTCGGATTAATTAGCACGCGAGGGGGCTCACGGTGTTCGTCGCGTAGTTACGATTCGAATTTCGCGAAAAATCGCCACGCCGGTTGCGCAACCGGCGCGCGACAAACGGTAGCAGCAGCAGCAGCAGACGGAGGAGGCGAAGCCGGCACAGCCGACGAGCAGCAGCTGATAAAAATCCAATAGCCCCAGTGTTTGCCAGCCAGAAAGGGCAATCACGTTCATCATGGTGTCCTGCGCTCCCGCCGTCGCCTCCCGCCTCCACCGCCGCCGCCGTCGCCGCGGTGCCACCCTCCGCCGCCCATCTCGCGTCCCTTCTAACCCCCGTACAGTCTCCCCTAGCTCCGACAGCTCGAGCAGTTACGTCCTACGAGCCCTGAACGTAGCCGCCCCTGGAAAATCCGGGGGTGGGATTCACGTGCGCACACGTTGAGGAACGAACAGTTTAGGGAGTGACGAGGAGGGACGGAGATTGAAGCGGGAGTTCGCGGCACTGTAAGGGAGCCAGAGATACAGTGGGGGCAGAGCGGCGAGATAGGGGCCGTTGAAGGGGAAAAGGGTGGATGAGCGGCAGCACCACCGGTCAGATAAACGCTAAAGCAAATAAATCCGCTACTTTAACATGCAGGTCACCGCAGGTGTCTGTTTATTTTATTCGTTAAATATTTCATTTGGCCGGCTAGGGCCAATTACGAGCGCGCCGAACGACCAGCCTCGCCGCTTCGCTCTGACGAGCCGCGCCGAACTCTCTGACGCGCTTCGTGCGACAATTTCTCGTTTTACGACGGAAAATGTAAAAACGTAATATTTGCCATTCGTAGATATCGTAAACTTAAGCCTTGATTCGATCTTCAGTATATATGTAGATTCCAAGCTATATTTCAACTTCTGGATAAATTAGTAATTGTTTGATATTAATTGTTTCTAACAAAAAATTTGTATTTTAAATTAAAACATCAACTTACATCTATATAGTGAATCTATATAGAATAAAATTCCATTACATAGAAGATAATTACGAAGTTCTTGTACAGTTTTAAATTTTCATTATTTCTGTTTTACAAATTTAATTAATGAAATTAATCTGTTAAAAATATTAAAATAGCAATCTAGTGAAATTTATTATATATTAAGAGTAAAATCTCTTATTTTCTTCCTAATGAAAATGAAAATTTCTTCCTAAAATATAGTAGATTGGAAGAGAATTGAACCAATTCTTGATTTTCTCCGCGTTCATTAAATTTATATTTATTGATTTCTTTTTATAGAAACGTATTAAGATTATTATTTAATAAAACCTCGCTTTTTAGACGATCGGCAGATTAGGATAAGTGATTTAAAGTACCTCATTTTAAATCAACTGCAAAATATATTTAGAACTAGATACGTAATGAGAACTAGATACATATGAATGAGAAACAACCCCACGAATAAATGTATGTAAAATTGAAATAAATTTTTCATTTACTTTTAACGGATTAATCATCAATGAATTATGTTTTATCAAACATAGAACGGAAATTATGAAAGTTTAAATCCTATGTAAGGATTTTATAATCATCCTGTCTATCGGAAATCATTACTGTTATCATCATTATATTTTTAATTTGTGAGCATTTCTATTTTTTTGCTAGATAACTAATTGCAATCATTTTATTAAAAAATAATCTATTTAAAAAAATCTAAATATTATGTCTAGATACGTCACAAAACACATATAAACAGAAGAATATTTCAAATAGATCATAAGAAATTAATCAGATTTAGCATCAACATATATTTGTACAACCTCGATTTCTGTTTAGCACTTGTAATTAGAGACACATGACATAAATTTTTAACAGTAGTGTTATTTATATGTCAACTAAATTATAACATTAATCTATCTTTGTTAAATATTTGTTACTTCTTATATTACAATCTTATAAGTCATAAACAAAAAATAATTTAAGTAATATTAGCACAATTATATCTTGAAAAAGTACACAATGAGTTTAGTTGTCTCTCATAGTTTCAACAAATCAAATGTAAATCGTCAAGGAAAAATAAAAATAAGGTCTAACGGCATCGGACATTTTGTGTCAATGTTGCAGGTATGGTTCCAGAATCGGCGAGCGAAGTTTCGCAAGCAGGAGAGGTTGGCCCAGCAGAAGTCTACGTCGCAAAGTGGCATCGGGGCTGACAGCGGCGCATCCAGCCCCGTGGCCGGTACCGTGAAGGCGGAGGGACGCTCGCCGAGGAGTCCGGCGACGCCACCCGGTGGCTCGAACAGCGTGCTTTCATCGAATGAGATCAAGCCGATCGCTAATCAGAACCTGGTGAACGTGAAGCACACGGATGGCACAAGCGATGGCTCGCCCAACGCCCGGGGAAGCAGCGGCGGTGGCGGCAGTGGTACCTGGGGCTCCTGCAGTCCTAGGCCCTTCTCGGCGGCCCTACCGCCCTATCTGTTAGATCCGCTACCGCTGAAAACCGCGAATCTCTACTAAACCTTCTACCCCCGTCACCGGCCTGGCGGAGAATGTAAATACAGAGAGCCGCCCGCTCGTCAACACGGAGACGACACGCCGTTCAGGTTCAGGGAGCGTCCAGGTTCCTTCCTGAGCCCCGGTTTCCCGCGACTTCGTCGGTGCCCATCCGTGCGATACGTGCGGTATCTTTAAGAACTCCGGTAAGACGCGCCGCTCATATTTTTGACAAAGATACATTTAGGCAGTCGGGAGAAGGTGTGTCAGCTTGCTTTGACGTAGCTGAGATACATTCCGAAATTTGTGCGCACACAAGACAGAGCGTTAAATGCCAATCATTGAAAAATCAGGAGCCGAGGTGAATATAACTTACTGTTAGTGAATTTCGATTGTGGTATTATCGTGCAGAGATTCAAAAGCCAATCAGATATGTCTGTTTCTTAAGTTTGCCGGAGAAATAATTCGTAACATCAAATATCTCGAGCAGTTTTATAGCATGTGCTATGTTTATTCTGCATTCCTGTGATAAGTGTAGTAACATTTGAGAGATTAATATATGTTTCCTTGATTTCTTCCCAGTTGCTTTAATCTACACGTTGTCGTATTTGTAGATAGAGAAGAGAAAAAGAAAATAGCGTACAATTGTATGACGTAAAATATTGTTTTTGTTGATACGAATATATTGTACCTATCTATTATTTAACAAAATAATTTTAAAAAAGGCGTAACTTGAAACACTGTTTTCAGGCATCTATTGAAATCGAGACTAAATAATTGAAAAGTAATATAAATGTGGATTTAAACTCGTATCAGAATTACATTCCAGTTGATATCGAGAATAATAGAGTTTATGTGAGTGTTTACTCTAAACGACAATTTTAATGTTCCCGAGGAATAAGAATGAGACACTTATACTTATCAACTTAATAACGTTGACTCATTAAATTATGTAAATATAAATAATATCTATATTTTTTAAGACAACTTGATAAAAAAAATAATGAAATTAATCTAAATATAATGTATGTGACAATAGAGTTAGATATAAAAGATCTCTTTTTTTAAATTAAAAATTTATACTATACTTTTTAATTGAATAAATAGTTTTTCTTGAAAATTTGATAAACCGATAAACTTTCAATAAAATTAACTTATTCAGAATATTATATAAGGACTATTGTGATTTTATTCAATGTAAAATAATTAATCTCAAAATATTTTAAATATATTACGTTGTTTTCAGTTATCGTTTTATTATAATCATCATAAGATAGAAAGATAAGGATTTCATCCGAACCAATGAAAATGCTATTAGAATATTGCTTTAACCCTCGTGGGACATTAAATTTTCGTTTCCAGTATATGCTTCCTATCCGTATTATTTTCTATTAACAATGCAAAGCTAGGATTAACACAAAAAAACAGCGTAGAATAGTATCCATAAAAGTACTATTAATCACGCGATTTTATCACTGGATTTAACAGACTTAGTTTATCGGGATTGATTTAAGTATTGAAAATTATGGCTATACATTGCGAAAATCTCTTACGATATTTATTATGTGTATCAAGTAGCAAAAAACGTATACTTCCACAGTAAAATCCTTGACGCAATTATCGAACGTACTTCGCACTGATTTAATGCGCGATTCCAGCGACCTGTCGAATAATTAATTAATTAAATGATAAAAGCAGCGATCAATAAACAAAAAAGGGAAGCGAAATCTTGCTTGGTGTCAAAATAAAAATGACTTTCGATACAAGAATTTATTTTACTAAATTACAAAAAAGAAAAGTATTCTGAGAATAATATTATGTTAAATTATGTTTCTGATAGGAAATTTATATTTATCTCACCTAAAAAATGTTTATATTAATATTGATATTTTTTATTTATATTTAAAACACCCATATTAATCTAAAAGAACATAGAAAAAAAAGGGAAACTAACAACCAAGGTTCAAATCCAATTAAGATTTCCACTTTAATTGATCATTAATTTTGTATCAATTTTATATATTCTATTTCGTTATAAAACTTTTGTTGTAAAGCTATGATATAGTAATTTGTTAATTTCAATTCGGTAAAAATGTAAATGTAGAGTGTACAAAACTCTAGGAGGAAAGTCTTATATCAAGAATCGCTGTGTAACGCGAGATAATTAATTCGCGTTAATTCGCAGATCGACGGAATTTCTTCTTAGGAAGCCCTTAAGATAAATACTTACATACCGTCCTGTGTGTCTCGTACCAAGAAGAGCGAGGGTACCTGTCTTATCACGATATATTATGGACAATTTCGGCAATGGTCTGACTCGTTCGTCGTGCGCCGATAACGAGCGCACCTTATTCTGCGTATGTATAGTTTATCGATTACGACTGAATCTATTTTATAGTGAGATGTATAAATGTACATTAGTTAAGATGAAAGGTATGTATAGTTCACCTGAAAATATTTTTTTCCTTTCATGAGTCTCGTCAAATCCGCCTTAACTTTTAGAGGACCAAGTAATTGGATAAATCTTTTTCAACTATATCAATTATAGATATCAATATACTATTAAATTGCTCTAATAATTGTAGCTATGTTAAATATAATTAAAATTGTTATTTGTCCCGAAGGATGTCCGATTCTAATTTGCTTCTCTAAAAAAATCAATTTTTTGCAAAAAGAAGACGGATTTGAAATGAATGCTTGTTAAAAGAAAAGAAAAGAAAAGAAAAAAGCTTGGGTCAACTCTAGTTATGATGATTTTTCTATTTTTTTAATAAAAAGAATTTTAATTTGTATTCCAATACAATAATTTTATAAAGTATTAAAACGTTAATTAGTTAGAACAAATTGTCTAATGCATAACGAACAAAAAAATCACCTAATTATTAAAATTCTCGAAATTATTACAAAGGAAATTGATATTTTGCAGAGACGTAAAGGTTCCTCTGAAAGTTAATGGGAATAGCGTGCGAAAATTTCTATCGTGTCCCGAGGCAATCCATATCCCAGTTCGATAACGAATGTGATTTTTTAACGAGGCACTTTTACAAAACTGCGTATTACTGGCGTGCAGCGAGCCGCGCTTTCGCCCGTCTCTGCGAAAGACGCGCATTATCGATTATACGCGACGGCAACGAGAGGGGAAAAGCTCGTCTCCGCAAGCCAGGAAGCGTTCGTGAATTCTGAACAGCTTCGTTGCTCCCGCCATTATTGTTAAGATTAACGAATGGTAATTATCGATATGTGTGAACCGGAACTTGTACAGTTGTTGCTATAAATATATGAAATTAGTGTTTTACACCATACTCATACTCACTTCTCTCCGTTAAAATCACTCCAGTGATTCCCAATTTCGTTGAAAAGTTATTATCTTTTAGGCCAACATTTATATTGCTATTTTAATTCGTTTATATTCAATACTGATTTTATATTATTCTATAAGAGTTCCCCTATTATTTTTTATACTTCTTATATAAATTAAAAATCATTTCTACTTCATTATGTTTGGGTAAAAAAGAATGTTCAGAGAATTTCAAGTACACATTTATTGAAAATCATAATTAAATTAGTTTCTCGTCTTAGTCGTTGGTTACATCGTTGCTGCTGGTCGTAGTCCGGTTATATAGATTGATATTTTCGTATTTATGACGTCGTCGAATATCCGCTGCAATCGATGCCATGTGTTTAATTATTACAGCTGTAAATATCAAAATTATTGTCCTGAAGTTATAGAAATGATATTTGTCCATGATAGAGTGTTTTTGCAGTCATTACTGCATAATTTTGATCTGTTGCACGAAACAGTTAAAAAGCAGCGCATCTTTAATTTCCATGATGCACTCTGTTTCGCTGGCCTAATAGAAAGGAGAAAAAAACATTATCTAATATGCTTAATCTTGAACAATGCTATTAAAAAATGTTAAACAGTGAGCAATATCAACGACATAAAACAGTTTGGCAATTTTCTTCATTGGTGGATCGAAATATATTCTATTACTTATTGAAAATATCTCCATCTCTTTCTGTAAACATGAAATAGTCTCCTAATTTTTATTTATTTTGACAAATCTGATAGAAGCTAATATTTTAACAAGACAGCTTGGATCGAAATAATAAGAAAAAAGACGTCTTTAATTATCCAAAATAAAATTGTGATCGACAAGTACAAAACAATAAATAGAAATATAGAAATCAGAAATTATCCAGAAAGATTTTCTATTTTTATAAAAAAAAAGAAAAAATTTAAGCAAATAAATTTGGTCAAAATAGTTACAAATTCAGAGATGCTCAATTTGCCAGTGTTTTTACAACTTTAAATCTGACATCTCGCGGATCGATTGTCGAGTCGTAATCTCCTATTTCCTGATCAAGAATAAAAAAAGGAAGACGAAAGAAAATAATAAAAGTTTCGTACGTTCGTAATTGCTCGTCATCAGATTAATCGTTTGCGTGTAGTGTCGTCATCAAGAATCACTCAGGTTACTACGAAAATTGTATGAAACATAATAGAATCATTGAATAGCTAACCGAATGAAACTGGTACTTCAGTTTTAACTCTTGTAATACGTTTACGAATCCCATAAAATGTTCATAGCACCCGGTGCATCGTGACGATTGAGCATGAATGGGTCTAATTGACTGCAAGAATAAATCTACGTATTGTCGATAACTTGCGATCGGATGAAGCATTATTTTAATAATGGCAAAGTCAATCCATTCAAATCTGAAATTTGAGGCAAAAGAAAATTTTACGGTAGATGTCTTTAAAAAATAAATGTGCTTCATTAAGTAAGCCTATTAATTGATACATAAAGAATATATACTATACTTCTTTTTACAATCTTTTTATGTTTTTCTAAACGTATTTTCTTGAATTCTTTAATATCAAAGGTTCATATATTTTGGAGTGGAAAAAGTTACTGTGCCATTATTAAAACGACAAATTTGTATCTTATTTCGTATTACAAATAAATAAATTATATAATTATAGTTCAATAATAAAGTCATCTGTAATACGATCTCATGCACAATGCGCGATTTCATATCGCAACATTATCAACAGCCCGCAGTGGCTTATTCGTGCGCGATCGAGCCTCATCGACCATGGAATCAAACAGACACCATTATTCTCCACTACAGCGCTTTTCGCGATAATGAAAATGTAATCATCGACATTATCGAATCGTCGTAAGTAGGATAGGAGAAATCGAAATTCCCGGAGCAGCGCGTTCGTCTGTCGTCGGATACACAGTCAGACGCCACTATATATAGATGTATTTACATTAATATATAAGACTGGATCGAGGGTTTTCCTCGAGCGGCGTGTGAGGGAGTAGGGCCTATCAATTAGGCCATCGTGAGGGTACCCGCGCCCATTCCGAAGCCCACGCCTTTAGGCCCAAAGTTCCGGTTGTAGCAACCGCGGCAGTAGATGTCCCCGTCCGGACCGTCGTTCAAGTTCGTCGAATCCAGGGAACGGTTACATTCACCGCAGCTGAAGCACCGCTTGTGCCATACGCGATTCTTCGAGATCATCTGCTCGGCGGCGTACACCGGGTAACCGCAGCGCGAGCAACCGTGCCCGTCGTTTCGCTTCTGGCCGACCTGGGGCTTAGCGTCGATGCTACGAAATAAAAACGACATCTGAGAATCTGATGTAATGATTCATGGAAAAACTTTGATTACTGGCAAGACCAATTCAGGTAATCAATGTATATTTATTATTTCCAAACTTATATTTTTTATCAAAATTATCAATAGAGTAGATAAAAAAAGTTACATAGAAAAATTTTATGATTCAATTAATAATCTTTGTCTTTTTATAGATTTCTCGTGTAGATGCATATCTATGTCCTCAGAAAAGAATAATAGCTTCAGGGTGTATTAATAGTTTATTCTTATTTTAAGATCGTTCTTATTTTAAGAATTGTCTTAAGTAATGTCTCTTAAGATGTTAATGCGACTCTCTGATTGGTTCGTGACATCTTAAAACTGTACTTAAGGTAGTTTTAAATTTAAGATTTAACTATGAATATCAATCTCAATATTTCTGTACATAAATCATAGCACTATGTTTAATAATTCATATAAGCTTACATCTCACACAATTACTCGCGTGTTAAAGGAAAATTCTAATTAGAGAAGTAGGTCGATTATCAAGATCGCTATCAATCATCAAAGTTTCTCTGACAACAAACTTTTCGCTATTATATTTTATACTGTGTTTCAGAAACTAATTACTCTTGAGATACACTTACTATGAAGGGGCATGATCTCCGTTCGTCGAGACGAGAGTCGGTTTGTGGCCGAACCCGAAACCTTTGGGCCCGAAGAGCTTTCCGTAGCACGCGCGGCAATGGATTTCCTTGTCAGGGCCATCGCATGCCAGCATGGAGTCTAAGGGTCGGTGACACTCGGCGCAATTGAAGCACTTCTTATGCCACATGGTGCCCTTGGCGAGCTGTTGTTCAGCGGCAAACACCATGCCACCGCAACGGGGACAACCCTGCCCAGCTGGCGCCTTAATCGAGGTCGTATCAGGATTGTAGTAAGGTCGACTGGCCGAAATTTCTTCCTCCCTATGGGTAATTAACTCGATTACGATACGATCCCACCTGATCGATTGAACTTAATATATTTTATAACTTAATTTCTATCTGTTTAATTTTACTTGACTGACAAGTCACAATAATAAAATATAAATGAAGGTATATACATCGATATTTTAACACATTTCAAGATAGTTCAACATTTATAAGATTTTTTCTTGATCGTACCGTTTATTTTTGTTTGAAATTTAAATTTTAGTTTTATCTTTTACCTTCCTAATTTCAATATCTTTTATCTTTTGAAATGCATTTGTACTTATTTTCTCTTAAATTATGTCACAACATATGAAACATTATAAATAACATATGTGTCAATAATTTTTATTCAAGATCGAAATTTTTTTTCCCAAATTATATTGAAAATACATATTTTGTATTTATATAATAAAATTACCAAAACTCTACATACAAATAAATTAAATAATGCTTTTACAAATTTATTTTGATAAAAAACTGTTATAATTTTATCAATAATAATAATTAATTAATTAATAAAGTGGTTATTGATAAAACTCCACTAATTAATTCTAAATATATATTGAAATGAATCTGCAAAATCATGGACTCATTCGAAACCTTCATGAGCCTCCGTTCAACGTGCATTTATAGAGCAGCTATTTAAATCGACTTATATTTATAGTCACGTATTCGGCAGGGTTACGAGCTAAACTCCCAGCATCAGCTTCCGGACTTACGTGAGTCCGTCGGTCTGGAGGAATCCCGAGCCACATGCGAATCCGTATCCGTGCGGTCCCCACTTCTTTCCGTAACAGGTCTTGCAGTAAACATCCCGATCCGGGCCGTCACAGGCGATGATCGAGTCCAGGGTTTTGGTGCAGTCGTGGCACTTGTAGCACTTCCGGTGCCACTCGCGGCCCTTGGCGAGCACCTGCTCGGCGGCGAAGACGACGCCACCGCAGCGAGGACAACCCTTGCCGGGCGGGGCCTTGATAATCGCGGTGTCGATCACGGTGGTACGAGGAGCCGCATCGCTGCATCGTAAAGAAATCGCATTATTGCGAATCGTTCTCGTTCTCGGTGACTAAGCCAATCGTTGAATCGTAGAGATTACAGAAAAGCAATTGATTTATCTATTCGATTATTATTGTCTAAAGTCTAAATAAACTTGATATCAGATATTTAGACTCTATACTGAAAAATGGAAAAATGGAAAACTTGAATTTTCCTCATTTTAATTTTAATTTTAATTCGTCTCACTTTTCTTATCTCCTCGATTCGTTTACGAAGTGGAATTGCATGCGAATGAAAGGATGATTGATCGTTGGCAATCGCTTGGTAGGACAAACAGAAGATTTGAAGTTTTTTTTAAATATTTTCTGATTTTTGATGAATATATTTTGATGGAGTACAACAAATTGTACAGTTAGTTAAAAAGTCATAATCAAAATTTTTGAAATATCCCGTGCAAAAAGAAAATATAACAATTGTTCAAACAAATTAAATAATGTTTTACGATAAACAATATATATATATAGAAAATGTAATAAATATTAATATCTGAAACAAGTTTTAATAAAAATTGCAATATGAGCTTCTATTAGTCATGAAAAAGTAGTCACTTGAAATCAAGTTTTCTTCCATGCCATAGCATGCGATTACGAAGCTTTATTTCATGGAATCTTAAGTAAATTATACGTCACACTTCTGACTTTCTATTTAGTTAAGAGAAAAGATGA